ATTTTGCACGGACTTTGCATGTTCTCCCCGTGCAGCGTGGGTTCTCTCCGGGTTCTCCGGCTTCCTCCCACAGTCCAAAAACATGTTGAGGATAATTAATGATTCCAAATTGTCCGTAGGTGTGAATGTCCGTGTGCTTGGTTGTCTGTCTCTAAGTGTAGCCCTGTTTAAATTGGCTCAGAGGAGTCAGCAGCTGTAGTCAATTGCAATCACTCACAAGAAGTTAAGCGGCCATACCACCATGGAAATTTGAATAACACAACTTTCTACATCACCAAAACTGAGAATTCAAGTTGCTGTATGTCTATTTTTGACTCACAGATTTTATCATATTTCCAGAGGACCTGTAATAAGTCTATGATTGAACCAAAATTCTCTCAATGTTAACCAATAAACAGTGTTTGAAGAGCTGTTGTGTAAAAGCAATATCAATTTCAAGGTTGAGCAGCTGTATAGAATATTAGCACAGCTGTTATTTGGTCGTAGGCATGAGGCCGCAGGCCAGTGCAACACCAACACCACTCCCTCTCCAGTGCTTTTCCTTAAGTGTCAACTCCAGCAAGGTGTGTGTGTGTGTGTGTGTGTGTGTGCGTACATATACACACTGGCCAGGTGTGATGTGCAGTGAGAAAAACAGAGAGAAAAGTAAAGCGTGAGAAAGCCCCAGTCTATAGCTGTGTGACACGAGATGTGTAAACGCATGGGTTGTTGCTTGGGAAGAGAGGATTGGAAATTTACAACTGCCATGATCATAATAATAATAATAATAATAATGATGATTTTTACAGCTTGGTTAAATTTGACCCATAACACCACAGATGTAACTTTTTAACAGATAGTTTAAAGAAAATAAAATGATAAAAATGAGCTTTATTGTAATCAGCAGGCCATTGTTGAGGATGTAATGAAGCCTTCTTTTGATGAGACAACACCGAAGGCATGTTTTTGTACATCTAAAGTGAGGACTGAAGTTGGATGATAATTGATTTGAACTGATTTGTCGCTAGGACAATACCTGTCATGCATAAGTGGTGCTAATTTTGATTAGGAGAGCTTCAACCATGAGACATGTAGAATATTTTCGCAGCAAAAACAATGAGGACAGAGCACTGGTGCATCAGGTGTGTCCACTTAAAAACTATGTACAGTCGTGATTCGATAATCCGACACTAAATGTAAAACCTTCTTTTATGTCGGATAGCAAAGCTGTTGGATTGTCAAGATGGAGGTCGCGATACAAGGAGGGCTTGATGCTTGAATGTGTTGTTAATTATTGTTCATAGTTGTTATGATAACTAGCAAGGCTGGTCCCAATAGCACCTTCTGGTCTCTGGATAATCAGGCCCAATTAATGATGAATATCTGAATATTCTGCGTGGTCGGGTGGGGGCACACTTCCACCCCGGGGCAGTGCTCCGACGGGGTGGAGGTGGCCGGAATGTGCAGGCAGAACTTGGCTGCTGATGCTAGTTTAGGATAGCGGTCACAGTTCTGTTTCCACCATCAGCGCCACTCCTCCACCGCCACCGCCACCATCCATGTTTACTCACTGCGTGTGACGTCGTTGTGTCCTCTTCTGCGCATGCGGGACACTTTTGGATTGTATAAAGTTCAAACAGGAGATCACATACAAGTCGCATTTAATTGGAAATGTGAACGAACTCGCAAAAAATCAGATTTCACAACAAAATCCCAAATTGAGCATTAAGTCCTGCAGTCTGAACGTAGCCAATCTGTCGGATTGTTCAGTCAGATAATACGCTGTTAACCTTATTTATGAGATAAAATGTCATGTCGGAGTCGGAATCCAAGGCTGTCGGTACGTTAAGGCTATTTTTCATGGGTTCCGTTCGTTTTTCCTAAAAAGCTGTCGGATAGCAAGTTTTTCGGATTGTTACGGGTCGGATCATCGAGTCACGACTGTAATTTTAAAGTGAATTCTATATCCCTCCGAATTAATATAATTGTTGTCTTGTGTCATTTGTCTCTATAAGGTTATATTTTGTAAATGCTCAGCTTGTGGTCGTTTTATTCAGCTGATTTTTAGAGATTGTTCAAGTGATATAGGAAGTTCAAAAACCATAAACCACTGTAAACCTAACACTTACATGCACAGAAAGTCATTTCCTTCTCCTAAAAAACTAAAGTTATATCTCCAAGCAACGCAAATAATGTGCAAAATCCACTGTTATTTTAATTTTGGATGCCAAATCTGAATTTTTTGCTGAAATAGTCTGGTTTGACCACTTTTTGAATGTGCTTTCAACTTATTAGCAAAGATTGTCAACGTGTCAGAGAAAGTAATGCTAGCGGTAATGCAGCGGTAATACCGGTTAGTGTAATTAACAGAGTGTAGGTATTTTTTACTTCTAAGAACCTATCTTTACTTTCTGAGAAGGAGAACATGTGGACCAACCAGTAAACACATTCAGCTGAACCACAGTGAAGGTGGTGGTGGTGTGATGGTGTAAGGGCAGCCCCATGCCGGTGAGAAAAATGTTGTGTAACGCTAAACATGTGCTGATCTTTGAAATTAGTAATTACGAAAGGATACTAGATTGACTCCACTTTTGGCCAGACGATAGTAACTCTACAGTATACATAAGCAGAGCTTACGTGAATGGCAGAAATTGGTTTTGCAACACATCCATGATTTATTAGCTGTGACTTTTAGCCTCAGGTAAATATTTGTCTGCTGCCAGTTCATCAGCTCACAGCTCATTTCAAAGACCTGTCCGAAGTTTGTCAAATTTACAATCACGCTCCTCCTGGAATTAGCAGAGACCTGAGGCAGCTTTGACACTTAGTTTTCTTGTAAATCTCATTATTTTTGATAAACATTAGACTGTCTGAAATAGATTTTACACGGTACAGGAGTAAAACTTTGAGCACTAATAAAATAATAATTTGTTGAAATCTGTCCTTACACTAAAGTATTTTGCCTTCTGCAGTTTTTGGCCACATGAAGCAGATCTTTTGTTTTACTTGTATGTCATGCAGCACTGTTGTAGGTTTGATATTATCTCTACAGCTGTAAAAAAAAAAAAAAAAAGTGAGACCAGAGGCAGCTTGCAAAACAAGCAAATATGCATGTAAAGAAAAATAATGCAGGATTCAAAACTTTACAAAAATCCATAATGCAAATGTATTATGAGCTATGAAATGCTTTCATCAAGTTTGTAAGGCTCCAAGGATCTGCACGCTGCATTTTTATGAGAATCACTTGTTTACAAAAAACTTATCTGGATAGTCGTGGAAATCGAAATGAGCGGCAATAAAAGCAATCCCAGTGCAACAGCGTTTGTCCTTCAAACATTCCAGTCTCAGCTTCCTCATAAAGATAACACTTTTCACTTGAGGAACCTAAATAAAAACAATGCCATTGAAACCAGATTATGACAAGGTGAAGGTATTTATATGATAAATTCACTACAATGACATTTTTGCACCAACGGGTGTCTTTAAAGCATAGTTAGAACACAAATGCAGCAAGTTAGAGTTAAACGTCTGTTTTACTTTCAGCAAACGGGCGAGGTCAGGAGCATGGCTAATCAGGGAACAACATGTAGTGATATTAAGTCCCAGTTAGAGAGCAAACATGATTTTCTGCGTCATCATTTAAAAAAATCAATTTTTTTTCCCCCATCTGGACTAAAATGTTTTTAGATTAAAACAGGATTAGCAGCGCTTCCAGAAACCTCCATTTGTAA